TCGGCGCCCTAGGCAGTGCGCGCAGCCGCAGACGGCGCAGCGTGAAAGCCCCTGTCCCCACCGGAGTCTGGACCCGGCTCCCGACCCCTCTTCGTCCTTCCTTGTCGGTTTTCTTCTTCAGGCGCAGTTTGTACTGGTTTCTACATTCGCTTTGTTTTTTCAGTCTTTCCCATCAGAATGTGACCTCCGAGAAGCCGGGACCGTCGTGGGTGCCCCCTTTGCGGACTGGATGCACCGGGCGGGTGCGGGGCAGGCTGCGCAGTGGGGCCACGAGGGGACCTGTGCGAACAGAGAGGGAACATGTCAGCAGGCCTTACCGTGGAGAGAAACCCGCGTTCTAGGCAGAGAGCAGATTTGTACAAAGGTCCAGAAGCAAGAAGGAACAGGCCTGCCAGAAGAAAAGAAAGAGGCCGCTTAACGGGGAAATGGCCTTGAGACAGCAGCTTGGGGCGGGCGGGTCACACGAGGCTTAGAGAACCAGATAAGGTTTCCTGCTGAGGCCTGAGGGGTTTAAACCTAGGCAGGACTGAGTCACCAAGGTGAGAGCTGTGATCCAGGCTTTGAAGTCTTTTGGGGGCCGGTGGCCAGCCTGCATTATGGGAGGGTTAGAGACAGAGGGGGACGAGGGCCTCAGAGGGGACAGGGATGAGCCCCTTGTCCCGCAGTGGCTGTGCCCTTCACGGGGCAGAAGAGGAAGTGCAGTTGGAGAAGAGATGGCTCGAGTTCAGGGTGCCATCTGGGAAATGCACAGAGGGAGTAGGTGCTGCCCAGGAGGTGTTGGGCTGTGAGAGGGAAACCCGCAGGGAGCTGTCCAGGGGTCTGTCCCCCTGCCAAAGGGCTGCTGTCGGGGCCGCTGGTCGCTGGCCTGCCTGCCTGCCACACAAGCTCTGCACCGGGACAAGCACAGCACCCCTTCCCCCCAGGCACCAGGATAAGGCCAGGGGTTGGCCTCACAGCCAGGAATGGCCTAAGGAACCCCCCCCCCGCCCGTGTACCAGGCCCATGTGCACCACCCTGGGCTGCGGGACACTAGCCACGTGGCTAAAAAGTTTAAATTCCACTTAGAAATCAATTTTCAGCTCAGTCACACTAGCCACACCTCAGGAGGCACATGTGGCTTGACGGCTACCACCACTCTGGACAGCACAAATACAGAACCTCCCACCCCTGGATGTTCTGAGACGCAGAAGGACAGTGATTGATCCGGGGTACTGTGCACTCAATACACCAGACACCCAACCAGCCCCTGAGCCAGCAGGATGCTCTCACTCTGGAGATGAAGCCTGACTCCACAGCTCACTAGAGAGGCATGATTCAAACCTGGACAAAGGGATTGCCCAGTCCGACGCTCTGAGGGTTAGCTCTTCTGAGAGGCTGAGGCAGCAAGAGTGCCAAGAGTTCAAGGCCAGCATGAACTACGTAGCAAGACCCTGCATCAAAACAAATCGAAAAAAAAAAGCCACAGGCAGAGTGTGAATACAAGTGACACTGGGAAATAGAACCTGTGACTGCGTTGAAGGATGCCTGCTTTTTTTTTCTGGGCCATAGTTTATATAATGCATCAATATTCATTCTGTGTGGCAAATGTCACCAATAATGTAAGATGTTAATAATTGGAGAAATTAGGTTTGGGTGCCTCTCTGTGCTATCTTTTCTGTAAATTGAAAGTACCAGGGATCAAACTTGGGTCCTTGCACTTGCAAAGCAGGTGGCAGAGCCACTGAGCTAAATCTCAGGCCTAGAAATAGTGTATTTAAAAGAAAGTACTGTATTAGACTTGATAAGAATTGTATTATGTTCTCCCAGACACCATAGCAAATGCCCAGCATTTGGGAGGCTGAGGCAGGAGAATTGCGCCAAGTTCATGACCAGCCTGGGCTACCCAGTGAAACCTTGGCTAAAAAAAAAAAAAAAAAAAAAAAAAAAAAAAAAAAAAAAAAAATGAAAAGAAAGAAAAAAATTTATATTACATCCTGAAGGCAGAGAAGCCTAAATGTGGCATGAATTTTGTTTGACGTGTAATGAAGGCCTTTTGTCCCTTTCTTAAAGAACGGTGGTGCGGCACAGTACTGTTCCCTTGGTGACCTGGGCGGGCTGAGCCCCACCTCCCCGAGCAGAGCCATCCCCTCAGGTGGCTCTTGGCTGAATGAGTCAGGCTGTGAATCATGTCTCAAGCTGCTGCACCCTGAGTTCACCCCACCTCCAGGGCACAGGAAGGTGGCAGTAATAACACTCTTCGCATCCAACCTCATCCTTCTCAGGGCAGGCGAGTGGGAGGTGCGATGTGCTAGCCGTCCATCTGTCCCTCATCGTCGGGATACATCCAGTCCCCTGCACACAGCGCTGATTCTGTTCTGCCCTGGACGGGTGATGCTTGGTCCTGGCTGCTGGGCACCATGCCAGCCGCCTCACCTTTCCAAACAGCCCCAACCCCCAAGGATCAGTAGGGTAAACTGTCCAGGCCCTGTGAAATCAAATGGAGGGAAGCAATATAAAATGTTAAGGGAGTAGGAAAGCAAACACCCTGTTGAGCAGTTAACTGCACACGTGATAAAACTGCAGAGAGCTCCAGACACATGGGAGTGTGTGCCTGGGAAGATCCACACCCAACCCGACGGGTGGATCACAGCAGTGTTGATGCCCTGGCTGTGACACTGTACAGGAAAAGGTCCCTCTGAGTGCTCTGTCCTTGCGACTGCACATGAAGAAGCAATGACAACAATCCAAATTTCAGATGGAAAAATAATTCAGCCGGGTACGGTGGCACATACCCTGTAATCTGAGCTACTGGAGAGTTTGAGGCAGGAGGATCACAAATTTTAGGTCAGCCTGCACAACTCGGAGAGACCCTATCTGAAAAATAAAATTGAGAGCAGGGTGTGGTGGCACACACCTGTAACCCTAACACATGGCTGCACAATTCCTTTTTTTGGCGGGGGGATACCACGGCTCGAATTTGGGTCTTTGCACTTGTGAGGCAGGCAGCAGAAACACTGAGCTAAATCCCTGGCATGTAACCCTAACACTTAGGAAGCTCAGGCAGGAGGATCACCTGGGTGGCCCAGGCTAGCCCGAGGTCCTGACTGCGCCATATAGTGAGTTTAAGGCCATACTGAACCGCATAGTAAGAGCCTGCCTCAAAAAACTGAAAAACAAAATACAGTTGAAAGGCTTGGGGTTGTAGCTCAGTGGTAGAGCACCCTGGGCTCAGTACCAAAACAAGCCTTGGGGCTGTCACAAGTGCTTTGTCCTTTGTCACAAGTGCTAATCTGCCCTCTCAGACCCCAAACACTCTCCTGCTGCCATTCAGCTCCACCCACGGGGCAAAAGATGAGTACTGATTTAGGGATGCCAGAGTTTGAGGTGTTGGACCCCCTACTTCTCCAGCCCCCTGGCTGCTCCTTGCAATACTCTGTCCCAAGGTCTCAGGCACTGCCTTGTTAACTTTTGTTAACTTTTTGTACTGCAGTTGCATACCCCTCCCCCCTGCCTGCAGACTTCCTGTCCCCTGGGGGTCGGCACACCAGAGGAGAAGACGCCACAGAAGTGCAGGCTGTTCCACAACTCCGCTGCTGCCAGGCTGGGGCAGCTGGCTGCTGGCTTCCGGCCCCTCCCCCAGGCAAGCCAGCTGCAGGCCATAAACAAGCCAGCACCTGGAGGCTACATCAGGACATTTTGGCACAGAAATAACTTGGAGGGCAAGGGCTGCTGGAACCTTGGATCTCCAGGGATCGATCTTCCAGCCTTTCCCGGCCTTTCCCTGTGTCCCTCCACCCACAAGGTTCCAAAGGTCGGGCCTATTAACATTGCTGCTGACTTAGGATGTCCTGGGGTCAGGCAATGCAGGAACCCGCAGCCTGGTCCTCTCCCCTCAGGCCGGAGTCCCAGCCCTGGCTGACTCTGGTCCTGGCCCTGGCCTGAGAGCTCTGCAGGGGCAGCATCAGCAGGACCATGCCCAGCCTTTCCAGTCCCCAGCCCAGCACCCTGAAGGCCTCTTTGCTCTAAGAGGGTCCCCTGGGCTGGAATGACTTTGTGCCTGACCCTATTGAGACCCATAGTCTATCTGCACTGTTACAGTCATGGTTTTTGCTTTTTAGACAAGGTTTCACTGTGCTTAGGCTAGTTTTTTTTTTTTTAATTATCATTGGTACATATTTTCTGGATGTGAAGTTTACATTCATTTTATTTTATTTATTTATGTGTTTGTTTATTTTTGGTACTGGGGATCAAACTAGGGACCTTGCGCTTGTGAGGCAGGCGATGGCACCACTGAGCTAAATCCCTGGCCCATACATTCTTTTTTTGTTTGTTTGTTTTTGGTTTTTGTTTTTTGAGACAATGTCTCACTATGTAGTTGATACTGACCTGGAACTCACTATGTAGCCCAGGCTGGTCTCAAACTCACAGTGATCCTCCTGCCTCAGCCTCCCAAGTGCTGGGATTACAGGCATGTGCCACCATGCCCGGCCCATACATTCATTTTAGAGAGTAGGTACATATCCATAAGACATCTTGATTCTTTTTAAATTGGTCTTGAACTCATTGTGTACCCCACACTGGCCTCAATCTCACAGCAATCCTCCTGCCTCAGCATCCCAAACGTTGGGATTGAACCACCATGCCTGGCTATGTTTCTAGAAATGAACCCTTGTGCCTGAAATACCAGCACTCCTGAGTCAGCACACAGGCCTGCTCCTGTTCTGTGTGGGAACCATGCAATGTTCTCAAGTAGACTCTTCCGGTCTCCAGCCCAGGTCCAGCCCCACAAACTAGCCTGGAGCCCCCTGGATGACCCCAGTATTGGTGTTTCATGTGTGTGGGACCCACGCCATGTCCAGCCCTCTGCCACTGCTCTTGGCCCCAGAACCCTGACCCCAAGTACACACCCCACACGAAACCCTCTTTCCTTCACGCTGGTCCCCAGTGAGTGGGCCAACAGTGCAAAACCCCAGACCCTTTTACCTGGCCCCTGAGAGGCCAGGCCAGAGCCGCACATGCCCTCTGTGTGCAGAGAGTCTGTGGCCTCTGCAGCAGACCCAGGCTGGGGGCCACCATGGGTCAGAAGGAGACCCCTGAGTGCCCTCTTGGGCGTCCTCTGCCTTCCTCCCCAGCGCACAGCACCCCCCACCCCTTCCTCACCTCTTCCCTATGAGACTTTCCAGCTGGGAAGCCCACTGGGCTCACGGATCGGGAAGCTCCTCTTCCCAGCCCCAGGTCTGGGCTCTCACGGTGGCCGCAGCACCATTTACCTGGCTGAGGCTGAGCCAGTCAGATTCTCCTTTCCAGGAACAACCGGAAAGCCTGGGTAGTGGGGCCCTGAGCTGCAGGCCTATGCCCTGGGCCTTTGCTCGTTCCTGCCCAGGCTCAGCTCAGGTTTCTGTACTCCACGCAGATCTTTTGTTTTCTCCCCATCCCAGATTGAATCCAGGGTCTTTATACTGAGCTACAACTCTAGCCCCCCACCAGCAATATTTTTTGAGACAAGGTCTTACTAATTTGCCAGATCTGGGTTCAAATTTAAGATTCTCCTGCCCCAGCCTCAAAGTGCTGACATTACAGGTGTGCACCACTCCGCCTGCCTGCCCTCAGTTCAGTTCAACCTTCCTGGACCTCTAAGTATACATTAGCCAATCAACTCTGGGGTTTTTGTTTGTTTTGTTTTGTGTTTTGTTTTGTTTTGTTTTTTGGTAGCCAGTACTGAACTGGGGTCCTTGCACTTGCAAGGCAGGCGGCAGAACAACTGAGCTAAATCCCTGGTCCTCAACTCTGGTTTTGCTGCTTGCATTAATAGAAATTTACAACCTAGATTTCAAGCAAGGACTTGGATCACAAAGTTGAATCAGCAATAAAGGGCTCTTTAACACTTTCTTAAGGTATACAGTATACTCACAGTTCAGAGTTACCAGCCTCAGCCATTCTCAGATTTTTCTTCAGAACCTAAATAATAATTGTTCCCTATTTCCCAGAAACCACAAGTATCCTGCACAATTTGGGGAGGTTTGAAAGTAGCCAATCAGAGAGCATTGCTCAGTTCTCCTTGCTGCTGATTGGCTGCTGCTCTGTAACACATCTCTGTCAAATGTGCCAGCCTTCCCCATTATAACAGGCTGCTGTACCTGTGTGTAGCTGTCTCCAAAGTACTCGGTTTTGTTCTTCTTAAACCCCTAAGATTCTTAAGATGCTGCCGAAACACCCTGCATCCTCTAAGGCTTTATTAACACAGTATTTTATTAAGTTACATGACTTCAGGAGACATCACATGATTAGGGTTTAAACTATAAAAATAGGTACTTATAGGCATTTTTCTGACTACATCTGAAATTTGTGGTTTTTCACAATTTGTGGGTGCTCTAGGAACATAACTCCTGTGAATTTCAGGGATCTACTGTACTTTCATTTTATTACTTTTGTTTGAGACAGGGTCTCTCTCTGTAGCTCAGGCTGGTCTTGAATTTACTATGTAGCCCAGGATAGCCTCGAACTCATGGCACTCCTCCTGCCTCAGCCTCCCCAGTGCTGGGATTATAGGTGTGCGACACCACGCCCAGCTAATAAAGGCTTCTTGCTTATACACACTTTCTGCTTGGTGTATCTCAGGAGCACCTTAGGGACCCTAGAGCTAGGACCAGTTGGGCAGTTAGAACCCACCCCATACCCATGTGTTTCTAGAGAAGCAGCTGAGATGGACCAGAGCCCGTGGAAAGACCTCGGACACCCTCTGATAAGCACCTTGACTTCCACAGTCTCTGTGGGCCAACACTAAGCGCTCCGTGGAAGACTGGCCTTTCTTCCCGCACTGCCCCTCACCCCAAGCTCTGGACCCTAGAGATAGCACCTTCTGTGTCGGGGACATCAGCTCAGCATCTCTGGCCGATCAGCCAGACTCATGACCAGATACAGGGACAGCAGGGAGTGGTGGTACACACCTGTGATCCCAGCACTTAGGAGGCTGAGGCGGGAGGATCACTGCAAGTTGGCGGCAGCCTGGGCTACATAGGGAGTTCAAGGCAGCCTGACCTTCATAGGGAGAACCTGTCTCAAAAAAAAAAAAAAAAAATAAAAAAAAAAAAAAAAATTAAAAAAAAAAAAGACACTACAGATGCAGGGACACACTTTATTTCTGAGAGGAAGACTCAGTTTCCATAGCTAACAAGATTCTGGGACTCGCTTGTGACCTGCCGAACTGCACAGGCCTGGGGGGGCTTGGAGGCAACTTGTCACTCATCATGGGCAGGCTCCTCTTCATCTTTCTTCCCTTCTTCACCCACATCTTTCAGATTTTGGCGTGCAAATTCCTCAAAAACCAAATTTTCATCCTGTAAACTGAAAAAAAAAAAAGACAGGCAACATTTTGGTCAGTATACACTCTTTAGTTTTGGTTTTGATTTTAGTTGAGACAGGATCTCACTATGCAAAGCAGGCTGGCCTTGAACTCACTATGTAGCCCAGGCTGGCCTCAAACTGAGGGCAATCCTTCCGCCTCAGCCTCCCAAGTGCTGGAATTATAGGCATGTGAAACCCAATTATAGTCTCCTTGAAGCCAAGAATATCTTGAGTAAAACAAACCCTTGATTTTTTTTTTTTTTTCACCAGGGACTGAACTCACAACTTTGCACTTGTGAGGAAGGCAGCAGCACCACTGAGCTAAATCCCTGGCAACCCTGGATCTTTTCACAGCAAAGGAACCAATCAGGATTTTCCCAGAACGGAACAGTGGACCACAGGATTTTCCTTTAAAAGCTTTTTACTAAACAGAAGAGCAAAGGCAATCAATCATTCACAGAGTGGGAGACACAGCCAGACACACAGACTGCGTGTGTGCAGGCACCAAAATCCTTGGAGCTCAGGACACTGGGTGGGGGGGAGTAGGGTCACAGGACACAGGGAACTCAGGAGGCACCAAGTGGCTTACCTGTCCTTTTCTGGAAGCAGGAACAATGGAGCAAGGGAGAAAGCAGGGAGAGAGACAGGTGAGTCAGTGTCAGATCTGGGCAGCGCCTGAATTCTCTCCCCAGCAGACCCGTCTGACAGGGCGGAAGCTCACTGAGTGTGGGGACTGGGCCCAGGACCACACTTCGCCTCCAGCAATGAGACTGCCACTGACACTATCCCCTCAGCCATCCTCCTCTCCTCAAAGTATTTCTCCCTCAGCGTCCTGCACCCCTGTGGAGGTCGCAGTCACCACGATGCCTGATGACGGAGCTCCTGACGGTCACTCCCTTGGGCTCTCGGAGGGTGGGGGACAGTTGAGAGCTCCTGTACCCCAGCACCCCAGGCGGGTGTGCACTAAAGCTCGAGGACCAAGCCGACCCCCCGCTTTTCCGTTTCTTTGGGGGCAGGTTATGCTTTCGCGTGTTCTGTATCCCCAGCTGAATTATTCTCAATTGCAGCGTGACATTGTTTTGCAGCTGCCTGCCCAGATGGTGAAGTTCTGCTGTGCTAAAGAGCTCCCCAGGGTCTGAGGGGCAGTGTGTTCCTCCTGTTCCCCTGCTTTTATGTCCGTGGCCCCTGTAAGTCACCACGGGAAGGGGTGCTGTAAGGGCACAGGGCACCCAAACAGAAGCTGACCTATGGCAACGTCCGCTGGCAAGAAAGGCCCTGCAGCCCCAGCTGGATCCCACCCTGAGGCAGTGTGGACAGCAGAGAGGCACACAGCACCCCTAGATTCCAGAGAGATGCTCTTCAGGGGAAAAGCTCTGCTAGCATTTTCATAGCACTTCATAGGGACAGATCCCTCCGAGCAGGCAGGGAAGATGGGAGACAGGAGATCACGTCATTCATGCATCTCAGGAAACCAGAGTTCTGCCATCCCAGAGGGGTTTGCCCTAACTCTTGCTCCCCGAAATCTACAGGATACCATGAGACGCCCACCGTCAGGACCCTGATGACTGCAGGGTTAAAATGTCAGAGGTATGGGCTGGAGATTTAGCTCAGTGGTGTTGCCGCCTGCCTCACAAGCACAAGGTCCTGAATTCCATCACTGGTACCAATAAATAAATAAATAAATAAATAAATAAATAAATAAATAAATAAATAAATAATAAAATAAAATGTCAGAGGTGGACAAGAAAAACTCCACCTCTCCCAAATTAAGTCATGAAGTCTGTCTCAAGTCCCACATGAACAGTGACATCCCCACAGGTGACAGTCTTCTTCACATCCTTGAAAGCAACCAGAAAGCACCCTAATCTCATGGAGTTAAAAATTGTATTTTGGTGTATTTGAAGATGGCTTGAATCTGGGTTTTCCTGCATTGCAGACCTAATTAGATGTCTACAAATAGTATTTTGATGCTTGGAACATAAATGAATCAAAAATGCATGACTACACTTTATTTCCCCCCCAGGAGAAGCTTTTAGCAAAGTGAATTGAGGATTTGAATCCAAAATAGTTGAAAAGGTACCTTGAGACGCAACCTAAAATGGACACGGGGGCTTGTTCCAATATTTAAATGACATTTCATTGTCAATACAAAAAGCCACTTATAAAGTATGAGAAAAATAAAGCCTGAAAGTTGTTACCACTTTTACTTAAAATATTCTTTATTACGTAACCACGGAGATGTCACAGTCAGATGGGTTCATCTTCCTTTCTTTTTTTTTTTTTTTTTCACTTTCCTTTTTTGGTACCGGGACTAGAACCCAGGGCCTCGCACTTGCCGGACAGGGACAGGTGCTGCACCCGAGACATCCCCAGCCCCCATTTTCCCTTCTTGTCAAACAGGCTGCCTTACTATACCACGGGGAATTTTTCCTCAGTATTTCTGAGATTACATCTATTTAATTTCTGCTGCACCGTTTATCTTTTTTGTGAGGTAAGGGGGATCCAAACGAGGGCGGCTCCACCGTTGAGCTGCACTTCCAGCTCTTTTTATTTTGTGTATTTATTTTTATTTATTTATTTATTTATTTTTGGAGACAGAGTCTTGCTTTGTAGTGCAGGCTGGCCTTGAACTCAAACTTGCCATGATTCTCCTGCCTCAGTCTCCCAACTTCTGGGATTACAGGTGTGCACCACCACACCTGGTGCTCTAAATTTTTCATCTTGAGACAGGTTCTTACTAAATTTCCCAAGCTGGCCTGGAATTTAAGATCCTCTTGCCTCAGCCTCCTTCGTGCTGGGGTCAGGGCACCACACTGTCATGCCCAGCTGCAAGCCCTTCTCCTTTCTCTTGACGGTGTTTTTAGTATGCTTGCAGAGCCTCGTAACTAGTGCTTCGCTTAACATCCAGCCGACAGCCAATTTATAATTCAGACAAGCTGAGGTCTTAGAAGTCTGGCCTGACCCTCTGTTCTAGAATTTCCTGTAGACTTTTTTTGTGTGTGTGTGTGGAACTGGGGATCAAACTCAGAACCTTGCAACTGCCAGGCAGGCGTGGTGCCACTGAGTTCCATCCCCAGCCCCCTATTTTCCATATTCTCACCACAACTGCCACTTTCAAAAGTATTTCCCACCTTCTAAATGCCTGTTAATGCTTCCAAATGAAATATGAGGGCTTTTTCCCCCCCAAATGAAATACAACAGCCTCAGGCTCTCAAATTTATTTGTCACCTAAATCATCTTTAAATCTGAATCCAAATTGTTGGCAGCAGAACTTCTGCTTAAAAATTGCTCCCGATAACTCTCCTGAGGTTGTCGCTGTCCAAGATCAATTGTGCTGCCTCCCACCACCCTGAGCAGACGGTGGACGAGCTCAGGAGCTCGGGCTGAATGGTCACCCTGCGCGTGACACTGACTGGGCGATTGCCACACTCAGAGGTGCCGTCAAGAAAAACCAGGAATAAAAATGCCATCACTCTGCTGGGGTGACCGGCCAGGGGCAGCATGAACCATGGCACAACTGACCTGGGTCCTCCGGCTGGGGGTGCATGAGGCGGAAGGGGACCTCAGTGGCCACTTCGCTGGAAGAAAAGGACGCAGACTGGTGAGTACACACACACACACACACACACACACACACACACACACACACAGCACAAGCACAAAGCAGAAAGCCCTGCAAAAGATCCCCAGGCTCAGCCCCAGACACAGTCTGAAAGACAATTCAGTGGGATTCAAAACAAAAACCAAACAGAAATCAGGAAGTGGTCCAGCAGGAATTTGAAATCCATTCCCTGGAATGCGGTTGAGGAACTTCCCTCCGCCATCCTCTTAGGTTTTAGGTTTCCCGTAGCGCTCTTTACGAGTTGTGGCAACGCGATAACGCAGGGAAGAAAAGAGGTAAAATCCCAGAGGAAGGATAGGTTTAAAAAATATTCGCAGATGACTGTGGTGATGCAAACTTGTAATACTAGCACTCAGAGGGCTGAGGCAGGAGGATCACTGCAAGTTCAAGGCCAGCCTGGGCTATATGGTAAGTGCAAAGCCAGCCTAGACTGTTGAGAGAGAGAGAGAGAGAGAGAAGAGAGAGGGCTGGTGTGTAGAGAATGGGCTGGTCTTCCCTTGCCAAACAGCAGAGCCCACAAAATTAAATTGCTAAAGGGCTTTGGAGTGACTTGGAATTTATGCAAAAGGAAGAAAGGGTGGGAGGGAGGAGAGCAGAAGGGAAATCTGGAGAAAGGATGAATGGTGAGGGAAAAGGGGAGAAAAAGAAAAGCCCCTCCTTGGATGCCAGAACCCCCTACTTGTACCCCACGCTGAGCTCTGGACCTGTTCACAAAGTCCTAGGTAACCAGGGGTTTATGAGAACAGGTGTATTCTGGGGTCCCAGTGAGGAATGCAGGTAAGCACTGGGGCAAAGGAGCACATCAGGTCAAAGCTTGTCTCAAACATTTTGTTTGTGCTCGGATTTTGAGACAGGATCTTGCTATGTAGCCCAGGCTGGCCTTGAACTCATGGAAATCCTCCTGCCTCAGCCTCTGAGTGCTGGGATTACAGATGTGCATTGTGTCAAATATTTCTGAACTTGTTGCTTCTTTGTGCATTATTTAAAAGACAGATGTCACCGTTCATAATTGCTAAAAGGTGGAAACAACCCAAGTGTCCCCCAACAGATGAATAGATTAACAAAATGTGTTCTGTCCTCATAGTGGAATATTGCTCTGCTATGACAAGGAATGAGGTACTGTAATAGTACAAGATACAACGTGGATGAACCTTGAAAACCTTATGTTACATGAAAAAGCCCATCACAAAAGAATCCATGTATCATAGATTTCCATTTATAGGCAATGTCCACAAGAGGCAAATCCATGAGAGAGAAAGAGTAGTGGTAGCGAGGGCTTTAGGCAGGAAATGACATGATCACGTCATGGGAGTTGGCCGGGCACCCTGGGAACAGGGCAGAGGAGGTAGAGAGGCTTACCTGGAGGTGAGCTCTCCCAGAAAGCTAGGAAACAAAACAACAGCTGTGAGGAGGTCCCCAGCCACAGCCCGGCTTCCCCCACAGCCCAGGGTGGGCACCGCCCTATTCTCAGTTCCCTGGGGCTAACCCACAGCTTCCGGCACCTGCAGCCCTTCCCACCCAGTCTGTCCTCCTCTGCACTGTGGCTCCATCGCTTCTCCAGAGAATGCCTTTCCCTCCAGCACAGGCGGCAGAATCAGAATTTCTTAGCCTCAGAGGCCACGGGGAGGTGTGTGATATAGTTCTCCCTGTCCCTTGCTGTCTGCAGGGGGGGTCCCCAAAATCCACAGGTGCCATCCGTGGAGTTTCTCGTGTAGCCAGTGTTGTATTTGCGTATGGTGGTCACGCACCCACGCAAATGCTCTAAATCAGCTCTGAGTGACTTACAATACCCAGTACAAGCAAACACTATGAAAATCTCTGTGAGGTACACATTTTTTCCCAGTATTTTTGATCTGTAGCCGGCTGAACTTGCGGATGTGGAACCCAAAAGATATTTCTTGCCTGCTCAATGAATCTCCACCATTATTTTTTGACCCTCACGGGGAAAAAAAAGAAAGCATTACCCACTTTGAAAAACACAGCAAATGCTGCTAACAAAAGCTGGGGTGGGAAGGAAAGGCCCCTTTTGTGGACAGATGCCTCCTACGTCACACATAATTGAGAATTTACTGTGAGTTCCCTAGGCAGCCATTTTTCTTTCTTCAGTACAATGTATCAGGCGGCTGACTTTTATCAGCTTCCCCACGTGTGCCATGCACCCACATTTTGCCAAGTGCTGCCGACAGGGCCCGCCTCTCGGCTGACCGCCCCGCAGAGGCAGAGAAGCTGACAAACAGAATGCCTGGGAGAGGGTCAGCGCAGACCGCAGAGGCCAGCTGGAGCACAGACACTTACCCGGACACCGTGAGCTTCACCTTGATCTGGTAAGACACCAGGATGCCCAGGATGGTGCGGTCTATGCCCTCCTTGATGCTGCCCAGTGGAAAGGAAGAGAAGTGTGAACGACCGAGGGAAGCAGCGCCCACACAGAGACCGCTTCCTCTCGGGCGCTGGTGACCTCCACAGACCCGGCACCCTCCCCCTGGTGTGTGAAGTGGAGGGGGGTCCTGCCATGCACTGGGGATTCCTTCATCTTCCCCTGCAGCAGGCCACACAGGGCACGGCTCCTCCTGCTTCGCTTGTCACATGACTGGGCATCCGCCAGCTCTCACCCTGCCATCGTCCTGGACAGGGGAGATGCTGGTGAGGGGACTTTGCTTGGCCACTAACTGACGCGGAGACCCTGGACAGGCTCCTCATGGCGGCCCGACTTACAGATAACTTCCTTATCCATAAAAACGAGGGAGATACGGCCTCCTCACTACAGTGTGGAGGGAGCGGTGTACATGTTGGCGACTACTCCACAAACCCTCGGACACATCTGCAACGTGGTGCCAGGCTGGTATCATGCCTGTCACACCCTTATGTGGAGCTGCGTATCGGTCCCCCCGTTTGTCTCTCCCAGGAGCGTCACGACTGGACTTTAAAGCCTAACACAATGACTGGACTTGGAGAGACACCCTCAGACAACCTACTGACCGCCACCTGCTTTCTGCACGGATTCTTTGCGCCCCCAGCTGGCTTTGCGGGTGTGAGCGGCTGAGCCCTGGAGACAGCGCACCAGGCCAAGAGGGACCCCAGTGCTCATGTGGGGAGAGGGCAGCCTCCGGCCTGGAGCCCAATCTTGGCTCCTGCCCAAAGCTCAGAACTCCCCATGGCAGCAGCCCGGGAGCTGAAGCCCAAAGGTGCCGGTGTGGGTGTCGGGAGTGGTATCGACTTTGGTGCTTCCCTGTACAGCACGTCCTAGCTCTGGAGTCTAAATCCAGGGTCCTGTGCACACCTGCAGCCATTCTTCTCTGTGCCCCGCTTCTCCTGGGCCCCAGGACCTGCTCATCATCGTGTGGACTGCAAGTCGCAGGGCTGGGACTCACATAGTGCTGGAGGCGAGGTTGGTGTCCTCATGCTTGATCTTCCCGTCCAGGGCAATGCCTCTTCTTTCTCGGTTGTTCGCCAACAAGGGCGCCAGCGTCAGTGTCTTGGTCAAAGTGCTGTTCGGTGGCACCTTTTCCCTACAGGAAGAACAGGGAGGAGAGTTCCAGGCCAGGTCACCCTCACGGGTGCTTTCCCGGACCAAAGTTCTGCTGTCAGTGACCCCTCAGCTGCAGGCTGGCAGCGACCCTGGGACGGTTCCCCTACCTCTCATCCCACCCAGGCTGCTCTGAATCGTGGAATTTCTAGAATGTTCTGTGGGGCTAAGGAGGACCAACTGGCTCAGAGACCCGGCCAGCCTGCTCCTGAGGCATCACGGCCCCACAGCAGCAGCAGAGCTTTTAGGTTAGTGCCAGCCACAGTTCAGGTGGGAAAGTGCTGGTCACTAAAACTGTCCCTATGAAGAGGGTCAGCACGTGACCAGTGGGTGAGCAGGGAGAGGTGGGGACCTTGCTTGTGAGCCGCACCCTGGGTCTAGGTTCAAAGCGGCACAATCTTTCTCTATAGGGTCTCCTCGGTCATCATTTGGTTGTGGACCCCCCCAAATATGATAGGGATCCCATGCCACGGGGTGAGTGTGGGATGGAGCCAGGCACACAGCGAGGCAGGATCTCGAAGCAGCTGGCTCCCGTGCTCGGCCACCTGATGCCCATGCCCACGCCGTGGCCACACGTTCTCAGGTCGCAGAGCCTGTGAGCTGGCAGCACACGCGCACCCCCAAACCAGCCAGAGGAAGCAGGGTGTGGCCCAGGATCACTTCCTCAGCACATGCTCAGACCACTGAAACCTTCCCACGGGACAGACTTGCCTGTTCCTTCTCCCCGGGGAATTTAAAGCAGCTGCAGCTTATCCTGCCTCTGGTGGATACAGGAAGGGCTTACAGAACTGGCCACATCCTCCCACCTGGGCCTTGTGTTATCTCTCTAATGAGCTTGATTCGGGCAGCAGCAATGACAGAAGCAGACACTGCAATGGAAAGGTGACTGTGGTAGGAAGGCGCCTCAGGGCTGGGCTTGGCTGCTGGCCTTTCCTGCAGCAGAGCTTGCCAAAGGACAGTGCCAAGGCCCTGGGGCCACTTCCCAGGCCTGTGGGATTTGGACTTGGACAGGAGGCAGCAGCTCAGGACTCAGCTGGAGGAGGCCTGCCTGCCGAAGCCCCAGAAGACACCATATCAGGGACAGTGGCTTGTGCTCTTTAGCCTCCTGCCCTGGTCCACTTCCGGGCTCCTCAGAGTACTTTCCGGTCTGCTGAAAATCACTCCTGTTATTAAGCATTGGCCAAAGGGCCAGCCAAGGCCAAGACCCCCCAGGACCCAGGAACGACAGGGGTGTGCCCAACACCTGGGCAGACCCCCAGCCTGGCATAAAAGTCAGCCAACGAATCGTGGTTGTTTCCTGCTTCCCTCTGCTGCAGACCTATATTTAAACTTAAGGCTGAATTTGTTTTGAGTAATAGTTTATCCTCAAGTCGCCTTTTAGCTTGTTTTATTTACTTATTTATGGTACCAGGGATCAAACTCAGAACCTTGCACTTACGAGGCAGTGCAGCACCACTGAGCTACATCCCTGGCCCAAGTTGCCTTTTAAATATGAAGTGATATCATCTTAGTGAAGCTACTGTCTTTCTCCAGACCCCTTCCCTCCACGCCAACCTTCCGCCGACCATGGTGATGTTTTTACACACACACAGTGCTCAGCACCTGTAGCTGGCTATGTGGGAAAGCCGCTCCCATGAGCCCCCCTCCTCCTCCGGCTAATGAACCTCTGACGTCCCAGCACAGAGCTCTGCTGCCCGCATGAAGCAACCACTGCAGGAACCTCATTTGGTTTTGCTTCTGTGAAAGGGACAAAAGGCACAACAACAGGCTAAGAATGGAGATGGCTCCCTAGTCCCTGGTACATGACTTTCAAAGTGAAGGGATGATCAGAAGCAGGAGCCCCAGCCTGGCCATCTGCTGGGGGGCAGAAAGAGGACCCTGCTCTCACAACTCATGCCGCTGCTCCCACAGGGCCTTTCCACCCTGACGTCGGACCTCTCCTTGTTTGCCAGCGCGGGTGGCTCTAGAACTCCTGTGAGCTTGAGCGAGGCCAACACAGCTAGAATGCTGACTTTTGCTGCAGCCCATGTGTGAGAAAAGGGGAAGGAAGCGAAAAGCTGGGGTCTGGTGGGGCACTCTAGTTCCCTCTTGGCATGAACAAGAGGAAGCTGACTGTAAAGCCTGCCAGCCCTGGAAAGGGAAAAGTGCCCGCTACTTACTGCGCCTCCTCCATGGCGACCGGCTTGATGTAATAATCACTTGAGTAGAGAACCACGTTGGCCACCTGCTCCACTGCAGAGGGAGGAAGAGCCGGCAATCAGCCCGGGACCTCGCTGGCAGGGTGGTCCCTCCCAGCCTTCCGGGAACACAGCGGGGGCCATTCTTGCTGACGACCACTTTAGTCTACTTCCGGCTTTCTCAGTCCCCGGCTTAAAGCCCGCAATTCCAAGTTCTGTCTCTGGGCCCTTTCTGCTCACCCCTAACCTGACAACTACTCCCACCCATGAACCAGACCCTAAGATCACGTCTCCTGAGAGCTAGAGATCTTCAAAGGCAGTGAGTGTCCTCCAGGCTCCCAGCACTGACACACCTGCCCCTTCCAGCAGCCCCCATCTATGGGATAAGCACCACCCGGCCACCCTCCGAGCTTTCTAGAAACCGACTGAAAGCAGGCAGGACCAACTGGTGTAACGCGGTGGATGGCAGGGCGGCCCTGAACCTGGCTCCCTAGGCTCAAATCCCTGCTTAGCTATTAACTGTGGGTGAATTATTTAGTTCCTCTAAACCGCAGTTTCCATACCCTTAAAATGGTGGTGATTATTGCACCTAATCCCCAGAGAAGTGAGGATTCAAAAGATTAGTCTCCTTTAAAATCAAATTCATTGTCCTGGTAGTGGTGGCACATGCCTGTAATCCACAATCCCAGCACTCAGGAGGCTGAGGCAGGAGAACCGCTGTGAGTTCGAGACCAGCCTGGGCTACATAGTGAGTTCCAGGTCAGTCTCAACTACATAGTGAGACCCTGTCTCAAAAAAAAAAAAAAAAAAAAAAAA